GTAGACAGCCAAATTGAGATCACTAGGTATATACCAGACTTTACAGCCGTAAATACCAATAATCCAAGTTAATTGGCCCGCAGTATCAACATAGATCGGGAAGACCGAGTTTCAGCCAGATAGAAGAAGGAACTCTCGCCCTGGAGACATTACTGTATTATTTAGCATGGACTTGGACACCGATCCTCGCTTGCATAAATATGCTGTTCCTAGCAGATCTGCTTGGCGCACAGGCACGGGGACACAAGGAAGAAAAACATTCTTCATATCAAGAAAGTTCAACGCCGAGCAAGTTGTTGGAGATAAATTAAAATACTGAGCTATCTCAGCAATTTATTTTTCTTTGGGCTTTGCTGCATCCTCAAAATAGTCAATTACCTCTAATTTTTGGACATTGATATGTGCGAGAAAAGCAAGGAAGTCAGGTATTAAGGTAGGCATATCACCAGGAAGAGGGTATTAACTGATAAATAATTACCAAAATACGGGTTTCAAGAATAAGTCTTTCAGATTTTTACATAATTCTTCTTCTGATGCTATGCAGATTGGGCCACTTACTAAGTCTAAACACTCCTGCTTTATAGACAAGAGAAAGTCTTGGATACCTTTCACACTTTCACTATCACCTGGGTTGATGTCGATTGATATCGGAGCTGAAGATTTATTAGCTTATAGCCTTGCCTTGATGTCTTAGGGCCTACCTTGCTGCTGACCATTATTAAAACCTGGCATCCTGATGTTTTCCTTTTCTATAGAGAATACTGATAATATTAGTAGTGAAAGTTGAAGAAAAAAAGCCTGGTCACATACAGTTCAAATCTGATTTAGTTCTTCAAGAAACCTTATTCCTTGTATTTTCCCCATCTAGATAATATTAGCCACATTTAAAGCCTTACTATTATGCCTTACTCTTGATTATTTCAACCTTCTTATCGTCCAAGACTTCAAATAGATCACGGGCCCGTTCTTCCTCTTCTTCAAAAATAAGATGGATCTTCATCCAGGTCATGACTGCCAAAATATATTCATTAAATTTTCGAAGATCTGCAATATCAGTGGAGGTAAAACTTCTGGCCACGAGAATCCAGACATATTCACTTAATTCCTGGATCTTTTGAAGGCGACGTCTAATTTTCCTTTTATCAGACATAAGAGACTCGTTGTAGATGTAGAAATATATTTAATAAAAAAATTTTGTATCTTCCAGTGGTACGCCACGGCGATAACTAGTTCGCTGTCAACCTAAGCCATCACAAAAGTGATATAGTGTGAGTGGCATCGGGGCAAGGCTATGTCTTAGTAGATGGGAAGTCGATGGGAAGTTGATGGGAAGTTGATAGGAAGTTGATGGGAAGTCAATGGGAAGTCAATGGGAAGTCAATGGGAAGTCAATGGGAAGTCAATGGGAAGTCGATGGGAAGTCGATGGAAAGTTGATGGAAAGTCAATAGAAATTTAAATTTGCCCAGCGGCACAGGCGCGGGTGCGACCGGGTAAGAAAATCTATTATCAGGAACAGCAGCGTAAGCGCTAAAGAACCTTGACTCCCTTTTCTTGCAGGGGGGTCCAGCGAGGTAGCAGATAAATAGAATCATAAAAGGCTGCTGTTTATAATACCAATATCATTTACTAAATATCAGCTCTTCTTTACTTCACTCTTGAATGCTGCCCACCGAAGTCCTGATTATCTGGAATATCAGGATTAACCTGAGTGTTATAGAGGATCAGATCAACAAAAGAAATCTCCTGTATATGACTTGCACTAGTACCATTCCTTCCTGTTCTTGATATACCTCTTCTTTATGTGCAGGCTCTCGCCTTGAGCAAGAGTATGCAGTCTCGCGGTTCGCATGCACCTGTCGAGGTAGGCTCAATTAAATTTGATATCAAGACTTTGTTGGAAACTTTGGATAATGACAAGATAACTTGTGTAGACTAGAAAATTCTGCTAGGCGGCGCAGAACTCTGATCACAATTTTGGGCCTGTTCTATCCAGAATTTCTTCTTCTCCTGGGATTTTTTAAGTTCTTACTCCAGATCTGCAATGCGGCGGCCCATCCTTTCCACTTGAGAAGTCATTCTAGCACGCAATTTGCGTGCTGCCAGTGTGTTTCTGGCCAGTTTAGCAGTAACAGGATTATCTTTGTCCCATTCTAGTGGAAAAAGAGTCTTTGTCGGCCGAGACAATACTTCTGTCATGTCTCGGCTTCTACCCGTGAAATCAGCATTGTTGAAAGAGCCAGATACTGCAGGTTGTATATAACAAGGACTCTTTTGTTTAGATTAGAACCTAGAATCATCATACATCTCTACTAGATTGTGAGCTAAGAGATCCTGATTCTATTGAGTTGCATGGTAAGATAGAACAGGGCCCTCTTGCATTAAAGCACCCTTATCCTAATACTGACTAGTAATACAGAATATACCGGAATTGATAATAACAGGGCTGACTCCATTCACATATCTGTGTGACTAGGCGGCACTCTCGCTGGCAGAAGTACATAGAATATTTTCAACCGTATAAGGTCTAACATGATATAAATATTAGCTTGCTTTTATATACACTGGGTAAGACAGCACTCAATAGTGTGTTTCCATGTGAGTAACTGAGATTCAAGCATAGAGACCCACATTAAGTTCATTTCCTCGTATTATCAGATAGCTATGATCTCCTGTAGTAGTTACAAATCTTTTTCAGACCAGGCTAAGGATATCACAGGCTGAAGATACTGAGTCCTTACTTCAAACTTGTGAAGATCACAAAGGATGTATTTTAAAATATATCTCGTGTCTAGGAATATCATTTAGCAAAACAGATTAGAAAATAAATATTAGTAGCAAGCTCGAACCTTCTGTTATCTAGACTGGAAATCCCAGGATCAGCGGCCACCACAAGGGTTGGTGATTTGGTTCCCATTCTGGGTTAATCCTTGATATAGACACTTTCACTATCTGTGGTAAAGCCTCCTTACTCAACAGTCCTATCTTACTCTCATAGTATAATGCATATTTCTTTAGATCCTTCAATTCAGAAGAATGAACATAATCCGCTTAATTAACAAGTGGCACATGAAGTAGCATTATTGAGATAGGGATGTTTAGTCCTGCATTAGATCAGATCCAATAAATAGGTAAATCCAATCACTGCCTTACCAAAATGTCCATTCTAATGCCCGATATCAATTTCAAGGACATAGAGAAGGTTCTGCAACAGATCCTTGTCCTGTCTCCAAGTACTTTCCATTTTCTTAATAACGCACATAAATATTGAGTATGTTTCGTCGAAATCAACTGAGCGGATAATATCAGGAAAACTATCATATATTTCTGCTTTAGTTAGCTTATTTTAAATTATATAAAAACAAGAATCAATCACCTTTAGGTGTCTGGTTTATGACCTTGAAATATAGAAATAGTCTTCTGCATGCAGGATCCCATAACTTCCTCAACACCTCCTGGTATATTCTCCCTAGATAATTCTTATCTCTAGCAGACAGTTTTGGGGATAGATCATTTTTAATATAATCATACTGGTATCTGCAGGATGCGGCATTCCTTGAAGAACAGCCTGGAATAGGATAATGCATGGAAATCTGACCAAAGATCAAGCCACATCATTATAAATCAACCAACACCTCCATCTCATCCCTGGTCCATCTAGCGTAGGCTATCGCCAGTAATAGTAAGATCACGCGAGGTGGTGGGACAAAAAAAGAAGAGAATAATAAAGACAGACTCTGAAGGGGTGTTCTTTGTCTTAAATAATAAATTTAAGAGCACTTAACATGACTTGACTAATAATTTTTCCAACCACTAGATGACGCTAACCCATTCGCGTCATGTAGCAGAACCCAGACTGCTGGCCTATTAAGACATGCTGTCTAGACAATCTTCAATCCTGCAAAATCTCTAAGAATCTACCTGGAGGGAAACCGCACGACGCCACTATGGCTTTGAAAAAGGTTTAGGCTATAATAACAAAATTAAAAGAATAAAAAAAAGAGAAATAACTCTACTAGCAGGCCATACATCTATCTTAAACAGTAATCATAATCCTGATCTCCTCTAATACTTTGCACGGAGATTTTTCCTCCTCCGTGCATGGTGAGTCATCTGTCAATAGCCACGTACTGCCTGTTCTTCATGCTGGTAAAGTAAATTAGCAATACCAACATACCCACGATGCAAAGCAATATTAAGCACAGATCAACCATCTGAGCCAACAGAATTAACGTTAGTACGGGGGTCCGCAAGCAGAACCCGGGCCATCTCCATGCTTCCTTCATCCGCAGCACACCAAAGTGCATTCCAGCCGTTGTGGTCAGCAGAGTTCACGTCAACCATATTATCCTTGAAAATCTCCTTCACTACGGCAAGTAAGCCTTTGCGGATAGCTAGTAACAGGGCATTCTCCCCGCGGGATATCCGAACGTTATCCAATCCTCCTTGACGCAAGACAAACAGTGTGATCGAATCTCAACCTACCTGTATTACGGCTAGAAAAGGTAAGTTACAACCCCAGTGACAGGCGATATCAAATCTTGGATCCTGAAGCAGCCTTCAGATCGTGCTAATATAAACACTTTCAATTACTAGTTATAAAAGCGGCCGTTGAGTAGGTAATATTATATTCACATAAATACCCTCCTTTTCAAGAAGCAACCCTACTATTCCGGTAGCTCCGCTCATAACGGCACACATGAGTGGGGTGTAACCACAACAATTCACTATATTTAGATTAATATATTGCTGGGATAGAAGCAGTTCTACCACTTCTTAGTACCCGTTGCTGGCGGCTAAATGGAGAGGAGTATGCATGTATGGGTCTCTTGTGTTAGAATCAAATTCGTTCTCGAGTAACTGCGAGCTGTTAGCGAAGATGTCTTTTAAAATTAAGTTAACTAGAAGATTAGGAATTATAAATAAGTAATCACAAACTACACATACCGCATTGCTAAACATATATTGACTTATCTCCCAGTCCCCGTCATACAAGGCGGCATGCACTGGATAGAATATACTGGGCTTACTACCGCCGTGAGTAATACAGATAGACTCAGAATAGTCTATCTATCCCCAACAACAAACAAGTATATCCAACTCAACAATGCGTTCAGGTCACCATCCTTACTCAACCATCTCCTGCAGATCTCGCACAAGAGATCCGTAAATATCATAATCTGACAAAGAAGCCTTTCAACATTAATATCACCCTGCTCTCTACTCTTATCCCCCTGGACTATGGCACCTACGTGCAGACTATCATCCAGAAAAACATGAAGGTTATCAAGACTGCTGGTAACAACCCAGGACCAATAATCAAACAGCTTAAGCAGGCTGGTGTCATTGTGATTCATAAATATACTACCCTTCACCACGCACACTCCGCCATTAAACTCGGGGTAGATTTCCTCTTCATTAACAGCTTTGAATGTGGTGGTCACGTCAGAGAGCATGATATCACTAGTCTCATCCTACTGGAGCAAGCGAGACAGGAGCTTGGTGTCCCTTTCATCACTTCAAGGGGGTTTATCAATGGATACAGGCTTGCAGCGGCTATGGCACTGGGCACTGAGAATATTAATATAGGCACCCGGTTAATATGCACCGTGGAGTCGTCCATCCATTCAAAAGTCAAGAAGATAATTATAGCAGCCCAGGAAACAGATACAGCACTGGTTATAAGACAGTGGTCTAACACAACTAGGCTATTTGCGAATCGAGTTGCAAAAGCTGCGCTGAGTATAGAGAAGGAGAGTGCAGCTAGTCAATTTAAGAAGATTACACCACTTATAAATAAGAAAAGAAGATAACAGATTTTTTTAAAGAAGGACTTAGAAGCCAGTATAAGATATTTCTTTCTGACATTACCAGTGAACTGTGTAACACTGACTTCTATTTCCTAGATTTAGACTACTAGTCAGGCTGTTAGACTGATTAAAGATATTCTAACCTGTAGTAATTTAATGAAACAGGTAGAGATAGAGACACTCAGCACAGTAAATAGGATCAAATCTAGTTAGATGGAAGAACCAAATAGAAGCAGAATCTAGTATATAATCAGAAAACAGGTCCGACCTTTTTGTGGACAGGGTTTCAGAGAGTATAATTTAAAAATATTGAACTTAGGACTTGTTTAACTAACACACATACAGGGACCTATGCCCACGGGTAAAAGGATTAGGAATCAGATCAGGCATGTGCTCTAATGCCATTCTTCTTTCTATATGAAGACAGTATAACAGTATACATCTTTCAGTTTATATTCTAGACAGATAATCTCTTTGTAATATTAGAAAATATAAATACATGCCCACATAGCAAATATTTATTGGTCAGATTTTGCATATCAGGCAGGGAAGATTAGGATCGCACTTATACACAGAAACTTGGACCAAAAAAATTTAGATATCAACCTGCTGAGATGAAACTGATGGATAACTGGACAGAATAATAAATATATGGAGTTGATTAATAAGTCTGAAGCAGCCGTACGAGCAGCTAAGACAGCTAGGACACGCACACTAGGCTGGGTAAGTAAATACTTAACAAGCCTCCATTAACCTCACACGCCTGGTAGAATCTAACTATTATACAGTTTACTGATCCAATCTGTATTCATACCTCTCTCTCTCTGTTGGTCACAAGATATTGATCAATAGCAGTCCTCGGTACACAGACCAATGCATGGAGCCATTACAGTGACAACTTTCCTCTCTTCTCAGACAAGCAATTAAAATTCATCAAGGATTCAGCCGACTTGTAAGCCTGACCTTACTATAATAAGTTATACAGACAATATCTTTCTCTTTATCCTTACTTTTCTAACCATACCACCGAGCTACAGTTTCTTAATCAATCACTACGGAACGCTCTACACAACCAGCGAAGAGTTTACTCCCGCTCGGAAATTGGACTGGTTTACCGACGATGAGGTTTACAAGTCTGCTAAAAAAACAGGGGGCCCTGATAGAATGGTGGGGTAAGAATAGATATCCACACACAGGTTTAGAGTAATTTTTTTTTCCTTTCATCCCACCCCAATTATTACAGTGGACCAGGCTCAGCTAACATAGAACTCTTTCATAATTACCTAGTACCCTGGGAATTTAAGCACCTGCTCATCTACTACTGGGAGTGGTATGCTCAGCAAAGCAACATGCTAATATTTATATATAAGAACAGATACGCAGTCGAGAACAAGTCGAGTATGTCGCTGGAGGATATAGTAAATAATATCCACCGCCAGGAATACTATAATCTATATATCAAGGTACTGTGTGATACTGTCATTAATAACAGAGTTCATGTTGAAGAATATCACATGTGGAGCTTGCTCAAGTACATACTCCTATCTCATCTACCTCTTTCTCCGCTGTTACTCTGAAAGTTATCTGTTTCTTAGGGAAGTAGATTTAAGAATGACACACTTAATCCATCACCCAAGGCGCTAATCAATACCAAAATATACAGTAACCTGGAATGGAACTGGGGTTTCAGCCCCCGGTTTAGAGTTACATTTATGGACCATGAGAACCAGTTCAAGCGTATCCCTAAAAAGTCCAGGGTGATTATGAAAGCTATCTGGGAGCATATTATAGACAATTAGATAAACAAAAAGCTAAGACCTTTTAATATCATGGAATATACACATATAAAAATTTAGATATAACTTTTGGACTATGGATGCACTAATTAAGCACTTACAGCTCTATCATGCTACGTTTATCTATCATCCTGGATATCTAAGAAATGCACATAATAATAGACACATCTATTTGGCTTTAATTTTATTAGCAGAATTAACTCTATATATAATTATAGCTCTATTAGTAGAAATAAAGTTAATAGCTTTTAGTACTTGATTACTATTCAGAACAGAAGTAATAACTAATATCACAAACTTAGTTAAACAAATTGAAGCATCTCTTAGAATAACATGGTTGCAGAGACATATAATAACTACACCACCCGCGTTGATATGGTTATATCAAGCCGCAAGGAGCATTCTATACTTTCTTTATAAAAGCCGGATTATAATTGCAATACATTATCAAGCACATCCAAAATATCCTCCCACGTCGCCGCGTCCCGCGATAGCCAGTCAACAATAGATTGAGTACCACCCTCAACCTACTCACAAGACTTATCTCCGGATATCTCATTTCCCTGAGTATCCTGGTGATCAGTCCCTGCAACATGGGTGATAATATTATTCAGATTAAACTATCTCTCATTACTTATCTCGATCTCAAGCAGTACATTAATAAGCAAAACACCCTGTTTAGTAATGCGGCTTCGGGATTGGTTCTCCTACAGAAAAATCAAGGCTTTCATAGCAAGGTCTCAGATCTCAGTTTCCTGCCCATCGACCATGTTGGGGGCACCGGTATCATGAGAGAAGATTAGTTCAAAAAGAAGCTAGATAACTGTTATTAAAACATATATATTTATCATCTACATGTTTCGGGCAACAGAAGTATACAGATTATAAGGCAAGAGAAAAAAAACTATTACAAGGCTGCAGCATATTATTAGGAAGCAAGAAAGCTGTTAAAAAATCAATAAGTCAGCCTGTTAACAGTAGGAATATTAGTAAGACATACCTTTATATATACAAACCAGGGGTCTTTGAAGCTAGGTATCTGGAAGTGGCAGTATATTAAATAAAACTACTAAATACTAGTAAGTAACCCTGTGTCTGAAGATTATTTAAGATACATGGCTTACTTTATGCGCTAATGCCAGGAATAGCACCTGGCTCTAATACTAGACCTGCGCCGGGTGTCCGGTCAGAGAGTCTAGTATATTACAGTAGAAACTTAACATCTTATCTATTAGTTCTCTTAGCTTACAGTCAACTTAGAGGACCTCTATATATAGCTTGCATAAGCCGTCCTTAACACTATTAAAATAGCCTTGCTAACACATTTTGTCTTGTGTCTTCTAGATCAGGACTATAACTATTAGAGAAAATATAGACTTAGCTGCTAAGCTCTGTAGTAAGTATAAGATTAACTTACCATAATTAAGAACTATAATATAACTGCCTTGAGTGTAGTACTCCTGCTCATAATTAATAATTATATTTATAGAAAATATAAACAGAATCTTCTTATTACAGTTTAATATCATTGGTGTATTAAACTAGGTTGGATAGATAATGTATATATTATTAAAGAGAATTTATAACCAGTCTTAACAGACCAGGAACCACTATACACGCTTTAAGATCTCACAGTTAATAAGACGCTGTTGCATGGCCTCCACTTTATCATTGGTATATCTATTTTAAGGATGGTCTTGGCCAAGCCAATAAAAACAGAGATACTATGCTATTTAGACTGCGCATGCTAGCAGCATGGATATTCAATTAGATTAACTAATATTATGGCCTATGTATATTAATAGACAGATTACTTGCAAGCTAAAAAGACTATGGTTGCTTATATAGTCAGTATTATTAAGACTATTAATACTATTTTGATAACATAATTCAGCAAGACTATCTAGGTACATATTAGCGCGCAATAAAAGACTAAAAGATCTTGCTTACAGGGCGCATGAATATTAATCTCACGCAAAATTAATAGACTCATATAATATAGAATAACCTGCATTAATAAGCCAACTCTCCTCTTCTAAATGAACCATCAAGCCTACTGCAAGTATTGCATAATAGAGACCTAACTAAAGCCCCTGACACTTAGAGGGATTGACAAACAATTTCTCATACTGTTCACAAAAGATAGACATGTAGACAATATTATGAATCCAGACAATAGACTTCTAGTAATAGTACATTATAGAGCGCACTTGACTAGGCGTAAACAACAACCCAGATATGTTATCTATATTATTCAATGTGGTACTAAGCAGTAAATAATACTTAATTTATATAATCTGGAGTATCCGCTGGTGACCTAAAGCTAAAAACTCAAGCATAACTACAGCATTCTTAGTAATATTATTGACAATCTTGTGCCATGATCGTGCGGGTTTATTAAAGAAAGAGGTATTTAATATCACTAGCATGGATGCAGGCACTCCGGGCTGATCTTCGGGTATGGCCTGTGGTTTACTCTCCCGTGAGATTTCTAATACTAGTGTAACATAGTAAGATTTATTAGAAATAATATTTTGCCATGTTAAGATGGAAGTCATGGATGCCGGTAAAGGTTTACAGACAGCCGCTGAAGCAATGCCAGGATGTTGGTAACATAGCTAAGTTATTCCCTACTCCACGCATGCTAAGCAGGGGATATGTTTCAAGCAGCATAATTTCCTCCAAGTGCACTTAATACAGGAGTAGAATAGACAGAGGCGCTTCCTGCAGCAACTAGATTGTAGGTCTATAACAGTCTTTTCTTGGCCAGAAACAGAAGACAGCGAGAGATTCTCTCCAGTTTAAAGATACCAGCACAATGATAAGGAAATGATAAGACAGAATGAGTTGATTGGCTGAGGTATGGAGGTCTCAGCCGCGGATGAAAGAGTTAGACTTTCCCTATATTCACACCTTATGCTCCCCAGCAGCCTCGTACACAATCTTAATATTATTACTACTACTCTCAATAAAAACCGAATTAATTGACTTAGCTGGAGGCTAAAAAGCGCAAAGAGCCCAATACATAAAAAAAGCCCTAAAGATATTTATGAACCAATTCAGTTGATATAAGCGCAGCAGCCCGCCGGGTATGGGGATTATCGGGGTGATACTATTGACTACGCCTGGGAGGATAATGCCAACAAAGGTGAACTCAGTCACAAAGACTCTCTAGTTAATACCAGCCTTGTATCTGTAGTAACCATGCAGGTGATAGAGATTAATTATATTGAGTCTTTGCCTTCAGACAATAAAGTAATCCGCAATCATAATGCTGCAGATCGGGGAAAGAAAGACTCCGTAGACAGACATAAAGATAAGGAACTTGGAGGCGCTATTCACAATCAGCCATGGTACCATGGCCCATGCCCCGAGAAATAGACAGAAAATGGCCCCACACCGAACGTTGATCCAGCCTGGGATAATGGCCATGATGTCGTGACCAAAAGAAATAATATTAGCCAAGAGATTGCATGATATTTGTGCCAGCATCCAAAGCATAGTGCAACAGAAGGATAGGAATCGGCTGTCCCTGGTAATACTCTAATACAGCAACATTATTACTGGATTAGACAAGTCTTTGTCATACAGCACATGACCAGCACCGATAACAGCGAGACCGAGGACTGCATAGACTGTCTTGATAATCGGGATAGTTAGTAACTGAGCCCACTGGCCGCGGGCACTTTTACTGAAGCAGGAAAAATCTGCCATGTTGACGGTAGCTGTGAGCCATGAGTTAGTCATAAAACAGAATATGGCAAGCCAGAGCCATTTATGGATACTGCCAGTTATTGTTGCAGGCTGGTTAAAGATTCCCTTTACATTACCAGCTTTAGCACAGATCTAGATGGTCATGGTGATAAAGACCTGCTAATATCAGATTTATATAGGTGAAAAAGAAGCAAGATACACACCGGGATAATAATAATAGTCTTCCAGAAGAAAAGGCGCTTCAGTCGGTGAACAGGAATCAATATAAAAAAGATATGCATAGTAATAAATAAGAAAAATAAGATTATTTACAGTATTGTGATTCCAGCTGATTCTGGCAACTAGTTAGGAATATTATAATAACTCAGCCAGATAGCAGCAATTACCTATAATTATTAGCAGAATATCAATGTGATCCTTAACAGAAGCCAACCTCTATCATTCCGAATAGTCCATAATAATAATTAACCCTAAACCAAATAGCAGACAGCACGGCTCGAGAGACAACAGTAAAATACCCAAAGTAGTACCCAAAGCTAGAACAGATCCCAACTAGAAATGCAACATGGTGGTTGCTGCCAATGTATCTATTCAGTACAGTAGGAATAGCATTACAAATACCTGAGAGCATCACAATCATAATAGCATTGACAGTAGAGAGTCCTACCAGCAGCAGTATAGTGCCAATTAACCAGCTGGTGATATTGACCAAATCCGAGACCCAGTAGTTAGCAAAGTCAAGAGCCGTCCATAACCTTAACTCTGGCAGTATCAGATCTAAGTCTACCAAGTCATTAGCACATGCCTGATAATCTCTTTAGGAGTATCCTATACCTTTATTGCTTCTGGCACCTGGAGGCGCAAGACTGCTTGGCTCTTTCGCAAGTTTCCATGCTTCTAGTGATATAAGTCTAGCATGGATCTTGTTCATGTTGGGCTCCGCTGTACTTTCTGTAGCAGTTCTCTGACCTTAACATGGAGGCAGGATCCTGTTAAATACAGCAGTCTTATCATTATAAGGAGTTTAGCCAGACGGATACCGCTGAAAAACCCAGAAATTCTACGAAAGATAAATCTGCCTTATCAGCAGAAGATGTGAAGCTTATCAGGAAAAGAAATGTAGGGATACCACTCTGCTCCTTTCAGCCGCGGGTAGAAGAGACCACAGATAACATTAAACTAGCTCTAATCATTTAAGCACTCACTGTCTTCCTGTATTCTTCCCCGCTTTTCAACCTGCTAAGAAAATGGATTTTCCTATCATCAACATCAGCAGGTTTGATTCTGACTTTGTCTGCGTTTCGAAGACCATTTTCAAGGCCAGCCAAGAATGGGGCTTCTTTATTATTACAGACCATGGGATTGAGGATGCTAGTGGGATATTTAAACTAGTAAATACAAATATCCTTTCCATGGTGCAGTGACGGACCATTAATAATTACTAGTCACATAACTTCTTTAATCTGCCGATGGAAACCAAGTGCGAGAAAGTCATCAATAAGGACCCAGTTGGATATGACGGACACAGGACAACAACATACACACACATAGGCGTCCCATCTTTCAGCACAAACCAGCTAACCAATACATGTATCTAGCTTCGCCGCCTCAGAAAGAATGTCCTTTGGTCTCCTAGGTAACCAGCTCACCAAAAGCACCAACATTCACTCCTGGTGGGACACAGCAAAGATCAAGGAAATCAAATCCTTCAAGTCTCAGTGCAATTCCCTAATACTGAAGATTCTATCCTACTTTGCCACACACATGGACTTACCAGGGGGCTTTTTCAACACATTACACAGACAAGTCCTCCCAGGGAACACGTTGAAATTCATAAAATACCCAAAGATAACCACGAAGCCAGACATTATCCCTTGACTCTCTGAGTATACAGACTGGGGAAGCCTCACTCTCCTCTTTACTAAATCACCAGGACTCGAAGTCTGTGATCCGAATAACCAGTAGCACGATGTTCCCGTGGTACCAGGTAGTATTATTATTAATATCAGCAATATACTTTCATTGTGGACAGGCAAGCAGCTCAAGTCAACTATATACCAGATCTCATAGAAGAAGATCCCCATGCACCAAGACCGGTACAGTATGCCATACTTCATACATCCTAACTTTAGTATGTACCATGTTCCCTGTCTAGGAATCAGATATCTTCTAACCTTTATAGCTGCGAACCTCCGATCACTCAGTGCACCATATAACAGTAATGTAACCCAGCTGACATACAAGGACTATTTCAACATCCGTCTTCAATTAATATATGGAAGTCTAAAGAGACTTTTATATAATAACCTGTATCTAATGATTCGCACACTCAGCAGGAATCAGCGCGCATACCAACTTCAACACAATAATTATCCTCCTGCAGGACACCACAGGCAGCCTGCAAGTCTAGAATAACCTGACCTCAACATGGATCAACGTAACACCCATCCCGGGCGCGTACATCATGAATCTTGGGAACATAATAATGCAGTAGACTAATAATTGATATCTATTAAATCTACACCAGGTTATCAACAAGAGCGGCAAGGAGAGATTCAGCATCCTGTTCTTTTTCTCAGGAAATCTAGACTATACCATTTATTATCTGCCCAGTTATCAAGTGGAACAGGGGGCAAAGTATCTGCTGATTACAGTAAAAGATTAGATAACAGGGCGGTATGCGGATACATATGGGAAGGAAGAGAGCAGGATTGGGGAGTTGAGAAAGAAACCCGGGATAAACAGCGGCGGGGTATAGAAAATTCAAGCAAGATTTAATTCTTATATATTTCTTTTAACAATATATTAGTTATTTAGTAGCCAAAATTACTATACTTCCACTGTGGACCCGCTGATACTTCAACTCACTGCCCGCCTGGTAGGTATCAGCATAGTATTAATGCTATTAAATATAGAGCATAACACCTACCTCGGAGATTTTATCTATATCCCCCTGGGTATATACAAATACATGAACTTACAGGCGCAACATGCTGCGGTACTCTTGGTAAGGGGCTAAGAGACAGCACTGGACAACAAATATAGAATCAACAAACGTGAGTTGTGTATTCTAAAAAAAATAAACCACATTTCCATATTCCATCCAACCCTTCCTTTCAGTATTCTCTCCTTGAACCCCCAACACACCTGTAATAAACAACCCAATCACAACTCAAACCCCCCATGTCCTCTTCTCATCATCAATAATACAACCTCAACAGTGCCTGACAAACACCCAAACGCCTGCAGCTGCCTGGACCCCAGCAGACACGGCTCCAGATCTGCCACCATATCCTCGGTGGCATTGCAGTACGCTTCGCAGTTATACAGGCCGATATTCGCGTCGGGGTCTGAGTAGCAGCCACGCAGCCTGTCAATGGGTTCCTGGGTTATATTAAACAGCTGCCATAGAGAGATATAGCAGTAGTACTCGTTAGATATACTGGGGACAACGAGCTGTGTAGTTTAGGCAGTTATCAGGACCAACCACATCCATTTTAATTATTTTAATTTAATGTGATTATATTTGATTGCGTGCAACTAGGGGCAGGGGAGGAGTGTATGAGGTAGGTATATAGATCTTCTCAATGGCAATATATATGTATATATTGCACGTGGACGTCAATAGGCTCGTAGAACTTATAACACGGGGTTGAAATCAAGCCTAATACAGATATTACAGCCAGATGCTTCTCTATATCTCTCAAGTAAATCACTAGAATTTATTCTCGGAGAATCTACTTACAGCCTGAGAAAGAAGTGGTAATAACGGTCGCGCAGTCTTTATATTAAATTTAAATCTTCTTCAACACAGGCCACCTACTCCCACACATGCATGGCATGAATGTGGAGAATAACAAAGTACATAAATAACATAATCCTTGGCATTATCCCCCACATTCGCCTTTCCAATCAATCAGAAGTCATCACCGATCATCTTCCCTCTTATGATATTAATAACCTCCATCTAAAGTAACAAAGCTGCCAAACCATCAATATAAAAGCAACCATCCACCTCGCCTGTAGAATTGAGGGAATACACTCCGTCTATAAAGGCATCCTCGAAATGCTTACTGTCTTCCTTAACCTGCTGTTCACCGGCAGCTCGCTGGCTGCTGTCAACAGCTTCTACCCGCCCCTCAACCATACCACCTACATCACAAATGCCTCGCTGGAGATCTATGGCGGGGCCATCAATGCCTCCTCTGATAAGGCTAGCAACCCACCCACAGAGCTCATCTATAATTACTGCTCTATGCTGTATCCCCGAAAACCATCTATAAGTATATTAAGCGCAATCCTCCATAGTTATTGTAATATTCTTCCTTAGGGTGGTTTTTACCCACAGCGCCTCCGTAGAAAACTATATCATATTAGCTCTGAAAGAAGGGGTGTAAAGATCCAGTCCACTGCTTACCAGAACCACACGGCCAAAAAGGCATTATAAAAGACTGTGAGGTCTTCTTGCAGCAGAACTATATAGTAAGAGCAGAGATTATTATAATTTATATAATCCACCACCGTGACAGTAACAAGCTAGAGCTGGCTGGAGAGGGGCTGAATAGATCTGCAGGTTTTGGATTATCAAACACAAGATCTCCAACTAATGTTACATGTTAGTACCTGAGGCCCGAAAGAGCTTTACAGACTGGTGCACACATGACAGAGCATGGCAGCAATACTGAATCTGATAATATAGGTAACTTCATTCGCTTAGCAGATATCATTAAAACCCAGACAAAAGCCTTAAATCTAACACCAGTGCTGGTATACCTCTAAGAAACAAGAAAATTTAAGTCTAATACTATAAGCTAAGTATGTTAAGTCTCATTACAGTAGTCTATATCAAACCATTCAACTAAGGATTATATGTTGAAAAATTCCCACAAGAACTTGTCATCCCAAACAGAGCCCTCTTTAGCCACAAGAGCAGTGTTAACAGCAGGAGCTTGCACTGGAAGTTGAGCTTGTTCATCTATTAAGGTATTGCCTGGCGTGGTTTTAATATAATGTAATGGATTGTAAGGAATGCCATACTCACAAGTAATTATCTCTAAAACACCGGATCTTTGAGGAGAATTCAGTAAAGATTAGGTTATAATATTTATATCAATGATCTGATGATTATCAGGAACAGGCAGGACCAGCCTTGCCTGCACTTCGTGCAAATTAAAATATAAGCTAATCAGCTGGGAGAGCAAGTGCTGGAGATTAGTGCTGAATATATACTGATCTAGTATATTAACTATAGTTACAGTGACTTCGTTAAGGAGATCAAGATCAAAGATATTAGATGAGATAACCACATTGCAGAAGAAGACAAAGAAGGGCATAAGCAGATAAAGTAAGACAGTCCTATTAATTAGTTAATGTTCTTAGTAGATATAACCCTACTGCAACTGGGATACCATATACCAAATAAGTGAGTTAGCAGATGATCTAGATATCATGGAAATATGTTTTTAACATGCCTGCATTGAGTAAAGAGCATTTCTTACATACGACATACACTCCTCCCGCTTTTGATAATTGTAAAGAAATAAAGAGTTTAGGCACAAGACAGTTGTTGTGACTGAATAGAATATGAAATCAACTACATCCCACTCCAACTCCCAGATAAGATTACTGACATAGTCAGAGCGGTACTTAGACAGGATATTAAATAAGATTAGAAAACTTATACAAAGAACAGGGAACTCTGACATACCTTTATAATACTGACACTGATAGAAGTTAACTCAGAATAAAATAAATTAATCAGCTGTAAAAGATTCATCTCATCCAAGTGCAGATTTTTGAAAAATATGTGAAGATAATGATCTTGGATCTGGGATAATCACAGTAAAATCTTGACTTTACATGACAAAGGATTCGCTGTATCTTGGTAGACTAATGATGAAGGCTGGTATAGTAAATTCAGTAATAAAGAAG